GTGTGTGTGTGTGTGTGTGTGTGTGTGTGTGTGTGTTTGTGTGTGTGTGTGTGGGGGGGGGGGTGACATGCTGTTGAGGGGTGGCCCGCCGCAGGTGAGAGCGCCCCCCAAACTGCGCTGACTTGCGAGCGCGTGGCAATGACTTGAATCGATCAATCGTTGCAGATCCGGGGGATTGCAAAAGGGGGTGAGTGTTGCAGGCAGTGGTCTCTGCGGGATCATTCCAGGATCCGACACTTCAAGATCACGGCCAGATCACCGCCATTGCCAACCTTGTCAACGCTCTGGCGGTCTCTGTGCCTGTTGCCGATCCGCAGGAATTCGTTGAGGGGCGCCAGAGGGGGGCACGTCTGGGTCTGGGATACAAACATGAAGTGAGGGTGATGAATTGTGAAACGAGGGTAACGAATTATGGAATGAAATGAGGGTAATGGATTATAAATTGTGGGCAACGAAGCTTGATATGAGAACAGCGAATCATGGGATGAGGGTAATGGATAATGAAATGAGGGTGATAAAGGAAGCGGTTGGGCAAGAAGTTATACAGGGCAGAGGGAATGGATGGACCGGGTGCTTCAAGGAGAGTGGCCCCACGAGGGCTGGCAGAGGGGTGCGGCTTTCGCGTCACCACCGGCTGCGGCTGCCCCGTGGAGCTCACACCTACTGGTGCACACGCAGCCTCCGCAGCCAGCCGCGTCGGGGTCAATGCAGGCCTCGACCCAGGCACAACAGCCCCGCGTCCTCGCAATATGGCCTCCCGACCCTCCCCCGCCGAAGGTCCAGCCGGCAGGTGGGGCAGCTGGCCAACACCACCCCCCTTCTGACGGGCCCACACGCGGCTGTCAGTCAATCCCGCTGACCGGGCGTCGCACACACATTTGCAGCCAGATTGCGCTACATCTGTACCAGAACCTATTCTGCAGCTGCATCGTGGCGCACCAAGAGGCAGTGGCGGTGTAGCGTGCCGACGAAGTCCCTCAGTTTCACCTTGTCCACCTGTGCCACCTCCAGGATCTGGTATCAGGTCAAGATCATTATCAGATGGTGGGATTGAGAGAAGACATCAAACAAGCCGTCGAGTTGCCCGATTGCACGGACGGGCGAGCAGCCAAGGCGGAGTTGCGATGCTGACGAGGATTCGGGCGGGCAGGTGGATTGGTTGTTGCTCGTCACCTGCTGCAGTCGCGCACTTCACATGACTCGTGCGAACAAGCACATACGCGTTTGTGTGATCATCACGCCCCGCTTGCCTGACGCCAGGGGCCGGCAATAGCCCCAGGTGCGCCGCTTGCGCCGGGTGCGGCCCCTGTGCCGCTGCTGCTGCTTCGACTTGACGCCCAACGCTGCGCCACCCCTGCAGTACAGCACGCTGGGGGCTGCTGGAATCTAGTAAAGTATTCTATCGCTGCCAATCGCTCTGATACGCACCTCATCTATTAGCACGCGGCCAGGCGCGAGCGCTCAATGGTTGAATTGCGTTCGTGCCACCAGCCTCCGCCTCAATATTTCCTATATCGATGCAGGAATTAAAAGTATACCTAAACTACCTTGGAGTCGTAGTCGGCCGTCACCGCTGATTGCCGCACACTTGCTCCTTTGATCCCCAGCCGCGGGTCGCGCAGAGGGCCATCGTTGGTCGTAATCCTTTCATCAAAACGGGCTGAGCGATGCTGGCCCCCGCAGATCGTGGCACAAAGCGTGTTTCCGAGTGTTCTGGCAAATAGCGCCTTGAAGCGGTCTATTCGCGAAAAGTGCCTTCTCAATTAAATTGTGGATTTTGTGAGGGCACTTCTGGTGTTGCGCAAAGGCAGAACATGTCTTTCTGCCGCGGATCAATACCGTAGCCCTGCAGCGGAAGACGGGGGCAGACCCAGGCCAAGCCCAGGACAACGCCGTCCAGACGGTGAAAAGCGCGCGGCGGCGCATGACTGAGGAGCGGAGCTCAGCCATAGACTGGGCCGCCGAGCTGCCCTGGATTGCACTGGGATACAACTGCACCCCGCAGCAGGCCACGCGCCTGTCCCCCTACCAGGTGCTGTGCGCTCGCGCCCCCACAGTGCCGCCCGCGGTGCGCGAGCGCCTGCGGGAGCCCCTGGACTTTGACTGTACAACGGACCAGGCGCGGGACGCGCTCGCAGGCCAGCTGCTGGAGCGCGCTGCCCTGGCCAAGCGCTACTCGATAATGGCTGGTGAGAACTTGAGGATACCGCAGCACCGCGACACGCTGCGGTACGCTCAGGTGAGGAGCGGTGACTATCAGCCCCGGCTGCACCGCTTTGAACCAGGGGACTTTGTGTATGTGAAGCAGCGCGTGTCGTCAATCCTGCAGATGCCTGCGTGCCCGCACATTCTGAGGGTCAAGGAGGTGGGGACAAGGGGTGGGCAAGTCAGGGGTGCTGGTGCTTGAGGGCAGCGACGGCCGCACTGCCAAGCTGCACCTCTCGCAGAGTGCGCCCTGCCACCTGCCCAACATCCACACGAGGGTGGATTACTCCCAAGCTCAGGTGGAGGATGACATTGCATGCCGGGTGTGCGGAAGGCCTGATGACGAGGCGGCCATGCTGATGTGTGATGGCTGCAATGAGGGCCTGCACATGCACTGCATTGGGCTGACAGCAATACCAGCCGGGCGGTGGCTGTGCCCCTCTTGTGTGGCCCAGGGCCTCACGGGTGCTGATTTGGAGGACGCCGCTGGCGCGGGAACCGAGCGCGCGAGCCGCGCTGCCAAGCCTGTTGCCCCCTCGCATAAGCAGGCTGACGCTGACCTGGAGGCACGCGCCCTGCACGGGCGCCTTGTGACAAAGGTGTTCCATGTGCCGGGCTCCAAGAAGAAGCGGCAGCGCCCCTTCTGGGGGGCGTCTGCACTTCGGCGGCCCCACATTCCGCCCGAACTACTTCCTGGTGACGTGGGAGGACAGTGACTGGGCCATCAACAGCCTGCCGCGGCTGCTGGAGTCCTGGCACAAGCTGCAGCCGGCCAGCGCCAAGCCATCTTGTGGGGTGGTGATCCCGCTCACACTCTCGGTCAACAGTCACCGCACGGGCCCGCATGCAGCAGGGGGGGACGCAATCCTGCCTGCCGTCTGATATCTCTCGCTCGCACCCGGGCGCATGCGCTCGTGTGCAGAACGCTGCGTGCTCGCGACCGCTGGCAAGGGGGGTGATCATGCCTTGTTAGCCCTCAGCCTTGCCAGCTGCCCGCGCTTGCGCCAGCATGTATGCAGCAGCCATGCCGTGCCCGTTCTACTTTTTCGCTCGCTGACGACTGCCCTAACGAGCTGGCCATCTCCAATCCCTGCCCTCCTTGGGGTGCACACGCACGAGCCTGCGTTAGTAGTTGTTTGGTGATCAGCAGTGTTGCCCTGGCAGCACTTGCGACGCCCCCACAGTTGCGTTTCCACCCCGCAGTTCAGCTATGGCCAACCAGGGCGCGACATTGGCGTGGCAACACGCCTCCCCAGTTTCGCCGCACACAAATGTCGCTGGCCACCAACTCTGATCTGACATCCAGCCTCTGCTCGTGTGAGGCCTTCTGGCTGCACCGCGTCCTGGTCACCCTAGTGCCCTGGGCGTCAAGTGCCCCACCAGCCACATCTCCTATGACAGCCACACTGCCAGCAGATCAACAACACCATGCTCACAGAGCACAGCAAGCATATTGCCCTGGGCTATCACTATGTGCGCGAGCAATGCGAGAAGGGCCGCGTCACGTTCACGGTGCCCAGCATCACCCAGGTAGGCGCGTGGGCGCGCAGGGCGGACAGCCGCCACGCTTGAAGGGCACTTGCGCCCGCCCGACATGCGCCGGCGCGCTGCCCAGCGGCGCGCCGGTGCCCAGCTTCACCCAGGCAGGCGCGTGCGCGCGGAGGGCGGACAACCGCTCAGCTCAAGCGATAGGCTGGAAGGGCACGGGGCGCGGGATGCATGCGCCTGCCCGACTAGGCCCGCGCGCCGCCGACGGTGCGGCGGCGCCCAAGCTCTAGGCATGCGCGTTGGCGCTGAGGGCGGACAGCCGCCAAGCTCAAACACGCTGCGCCGCGTTTTGCACCCTTGTTTGTGAACCTGCCTGCACATGCCCGCATGCACGCCCGTTTGTGTAGCGCAGACTTGCAAACTTGTGGGGCCTTTGTGCACACCTGCTATGAACGGCGAACGCTGCCCACTTGAGTCCCAGTCACACAATGCTGACGCTACAATGCTACATCCCATGAGCCTGGATGGCTCCAGGAGCGGGCGACCGCGGGATCGTGCAACAATCCTAATCCTAATCCAAATCCATGCTGTTTTTAGTGATTTTTTGTGCTGCTCCAACCCTGTCGTGCACACTGGGCGCCTGTGTGCGATGGGCTCCGGGCAGGCTGGCAGCCCAGACAGATATACGCGCGCATACAACTCAACAACCCTTCTGTTTCGCCGTGTCGCGGCTCGTGCAACCATTTGGCCGGCGTAGCTGGCAGCTGCACAGGCGCGACTTGCACGCGTCTTACCAGCTCATGCGGCCTGCGTTATAAGCGCCGGTTGCCCTGGAAAATTCTATTGCCACCTTTCAAAGCTGTTCAACAGCATGTAATGCGCAACAAGCCACCGCCTGATTTAGCTCCTATCAGACCCATCAGGTAAGCATTACAGCTCCGACAGCAGGTGACCTGCCGCCA